AAAAAAAAATCCACAGAACAATACTAAGTTAAAAAGAGGTTTCCAGAACTATGAGACATTAGACAAAGTAAATTCCTGTCATTTTACTGCTGTCACTGATTTGTTAACATGGATGGGGCATCTTCTTTTTCTACTTCCTCACACATAAGTAAGGTCCAAATAAATAGCCTACAGTTTAGTACTTAAGTATATGAATATGGATTCCATTCACAGAATGCTAGAAATTCCACATGACAGTATGGTATTACTGTCTAAATAAAGCTCTAGGTTTTAGACTGAAGAGATGAATGATAGACAAAGTCAAAAGTTTTCTGTTTTCATTTCACAAGACAAATTAAGTTAAAAATGGTTAGGACGTGGAACTGTCTAAAGCGTAAAAGTGGTAGAAGTGCAAATCATGCCTGGCACTTAAGTATTTAAAAACTTGACCAGCCGGGATCAGTGGTTCACATCTGTAATCCCAACACTCTGGGAAGCCCAGGCAGGTGGATCGCTTGAGTCCCTGAGTTTGAGACCAGCCCGAACAATACAGGCAGACCTGTCTCTACAAAAAGCCATAGGTAATGGTGTGAACCTGTGGCCCCAGCTTCTCCAGAGGCTAAGGTGGGAGGATCACTTGGGCTCAGGAGGCTGAGGCTGCATGATCCGTGATTGTGCCACTGCACTTCAACCTGGGCGACAGAGCTAGTCTGTCTCAAAAAAAAATTTTTTTTTTTTTTTTTGAGACATAGTCTCACTCTGTCGCCCAGGCTGGAGTGCAGTGGCGTGATCTGAGCTCACTGCAACCTCCGCCTTCTGGGTTTCAAGCGACTCTCCTGTCCCAGCCTCCCAAGTAGCCAGGATTACAGGCAACCACCACCATGCCCAGCTAATTTTTGTATTTTTAGGAGATGGGGTTTCACCATCTTGGGCGGGCTGGTCTTGAACTCCTGACCTCGTTATCCACCTGTCCCGGCCTCCCAAAGTGCTGGGATTACTGGTGTGAGCCACCGTGCCGTGCCCGTCCTTGAATAAATAAAACTTTTTTTGAGATGGAGTCTCGCTCTGTTGTCCAAGCTGGAGTGCAGTGGCGCAATCTCAGGTCACTGCAACCTCCGCCTCCTGGGTTCAAGCATTCTCCTGTCAGCCTCCGGAGTAGCTGGAACTACAGGCGCATGCCACCACGCCCAGCTAATTTTTTGTATTTTGAGTAGAGACAGGGTTTCATCATGTTGGCCAGGATGGTCTCGATCTCTTGACGTCATGATCTGGCCGCCTCTGCCTCCCCAAGTTCTGGGATTACAGGCGTGAGCCACCATGCTCGGCTGAATAAATTTAAGAGCTTCCCCAATTTGCTGTCAAACAAAATTTGCTTTTCCCTACTTTAGTAACACATTTCACACATTCTCCCCACTTACCCTCTGCTATGTGCACCCCTTCATTTCCCAGTCACAAGGGGATTACCCCCCCCTTTTCTGAATCCTCACTACTTCTCTCTCAACTCACTTCTGCTTAGATTCTGATTACTTCCCTCCATTTATAATCCACACTACAGGGAATTGTGAGCTCGTAGAGTGCAAAAAACTGTCTTCCCTCTCTCCCTGTAGGGTTTAGTACAAGGTTTTAGCAACAACACTCAATAAACATTTACTAAATAACTGGGTTAATGAGTCCCGCTCCCCGCAATCCTATTCCATCCCTGCCTTTGTTGATACTGAAAAGCCTACTCTGAATATCTGCAGCCTCCCCCTTTTCCACAAAATATAGTGATATAGCATTCGATATAGTCTGGACTAAAAATTTCCCTCTTCTGAAATGCAGCAATTCTCCCATCTTTAAATCCCCAACATGCCCAGTTTGACGGGTCCACTTCCCACTCCGAAGCTTCCCCGAGGGCGGAGTGAGGACTCCACTTGTGTCTCCCACGCGCCGCTAACAGTTTCCGTAGGACCACCCTCCTAGAGAAGGGGCCCGAATCGCCGAAGGGCACGGCTTCGCTGATTTAAAAAAGTAAAAAGCCCCGTATCTGCATCAGAAAGGCGCCTCTACAGACTCAGGGAGTTAGGACACCCCTCCCCCTTGTTACAGAGTCCCCTTCCAGAGGCAAAACCGTGGAAACGGGAGCCACTACTACTACTACCACTCAAACCTCTCGGCGATGGCCGGAGTACCGGGAGTGCCTGCGAGGGACTGGGAAAGCGAGCCTCAAATTCCCATTCTTCCAGAGAAAGTGGCTTCACTGATAACCAAACGCCCTTCCAGCACCCATTCCCTGCCTCCCCAGCAGGCACCGAGGCCCCGCTTGGCGTTTGGGGACTCCAGCATAACGGGAGGCAACACAACGAGACAAGAGCAAACCGTTTCTCAGCGTTCTGGCCCAGGGCCTTCCCCTCTCGCGGCCCGGCCTCCCTCACCCGGAAGTGTTGGTCCCGGTACTGGCTCAGCTCCACGTACGAGTCGCTGCGCAGCGCCTTCAGGAGGCCACCCGACATAGTGCAGACACGCGGACGACAATGCGACGACTACCGACACGAGGCGGTGGCTGCCGTGGCGGAAGCGGAAACGCGCGGAGATGCGCATCTTATTGGAGCCAATCCGGGCGGCAGTGTCGTCATCAAGCTGCGCGGGCGCAAAAGGCGTCCGGTCGGCCCCCGCGCGGCGGAAGGCAGGGGACTGAAGGCGAGGGCGGCGCGCTTCGGGTATCGGGCGCCGGGAGAGGATGGTGCTCCGACGGCTGCTGGCCGCCTTGCTGCACAGTCCGCAGCTAGTGGATCGTCTATCGGAGTCGTGGCCTATCCGACGTGCGGCGCAGCTCACAGCCTTCGCACTGCTACAGGCCCAGCTGCGGGGCCAAGACGCGGCCCGCCGCCTGCGGGACCTCGCGGCTGGGCCCGCGGACTCCCTGGGCCGCCGCGCTGAGCGATTCAAAGACGCTTTCACCCAGGAGCTACGCCGCGGCCACCGGGGCCGCTCAGGGCCACCACCAGGTAGCCAGAGGGGCCCGGGCGCAAACATTTAAGCCTGGGCTGCGCGGGGCCGAGGCCGCTTAGTTTCCCTTCTGGGCTCTATACTGGCCTCGGCGTTGAGGGGTCATTCCGGACACTGCGCGCGGCTCCGAATCCTGACTCTGATTTTTGGCCTGCGGATATCCCACTCAGAAGAGCCTAGGCCAGACCGCCGTCTCCGTTGAAGTCTTGTGATTGGACAAGGCACAGTGTGGAGAAAGACCCCGAAGCCTAACAGAGATGAAGATGGGCTGGGTCCAGTCACAGCACCTGCGGAGAGCCACCGGCTGAAGCCACAGAGCCTTTCCTCTGCAAATGGGATTGAAACTCTTGACAGATGCTGCTGAATCTGCACGGGTATAGCAGGACACTTAATTCCAGAGACAATATGGATGAAAAGACCACCCTACAGTTGCCAAAATCCTTTGATTAAATGTGTGAGCTGATTAATAAACATGAGTGTGATACTTCTCAGGCAAGATGGATTAAGAATACTGGGGACTGTAGGCCTATGGTAATAATAAACACGTACTTTATGAAATGAGTATTTATTCTGTACTGGGACTTGCTAATAGCACTCTGTGTGTGTTTGTGTCATCTCCTTAAAACCACATTCACATGAGGAAGCAGGGATGGGGTGGTCTCACTGTGTTGCCTCGGCTGGTCTCAAACTCTTGGGCTCAACTGATCCTCCTGCCTCAGCCTCCCAAAGTGCTGGGATTACAGACAAGAGCCACCGCAACGGAAACAGAGGCTGCTGCTTAAGCTGCCCAAAGCCTTGCAGAGTAGGATGTGGGCAGAGGCATTTGACTGCTGGCCTTAAGTCCTTAACACAGCTCTGCAGCATTTATCCTGACGCTGGATGCCTTCTTTCTCCAACCCCCCACCATCAGGCATTAAGACTACTGCCTAGGAGCAGGGTGTGGTGGCAGTTGCGTCTGATCCCAGCCTCTCCAGAGGCAGGAGAATCGCATGAGCCAGAGATGAGACCAGCCTGGGCAACATAGCGAGAACCTGTCTCAAAAATAAAAAAGACTGCTGCTTGCCATGGAACGAGCTACCTGGACTCCTATCCCTCATTTTAGAGGGTCTGGGATACAAACTAAGACTATGGTCCAGCTAGTTAGTGGACCCATGATTAGAAAATCCATTGTATATAGAAATGTCCTGTCATTTGAAGCTCCTAGCTAAATTTCTAATATTTCTTTAAAGACAGGGCCTAACTCTTGCCCAGGCTGGAGTGCAGTGGCACAATCGTAGCTGTCACTGCGACCTCGACCTGTGGGCCAAGCAGTCTTCCTCCCTAGTTCTCCAAGGTAGCTGGATTAGAGGCCCATGACACCATGTCCAGCTAATTAAAAACGTTGTTGAAATGGCATTGCAGTTTGTGGCCCAGGCTGGTCTTAAACTCCTGGCCTCAAGTAGCTCTCCCACTTCAGCCTGTCAAAGTGCTGGGATTACTGGTGTGAGGCACCACACCCGACTCTGATCATTTCTAATTAGGCAACACAATCATGTAATCATGCAATCTAGAAAACTTGAAGCCATAGGAAAAATTTAAGCTGGTAACCAGATGCTGGCTGAGCATTGTATGTTCTCTACTTTCTAAGAGAATGATTCCACCGCCCCCACCCCCCAACCAACTGCGATGGAGCCTTGCTCTGTCACCCAGGCTGGAGTGCAGTGGCACGATCTTGTCTCACTGCAACCTCCGCCTCCCGGGTTCAAGCAGTTCTGTCTCAGCCTTTCAAGCAGCTGGGATTAAAGGTGCCCGCCACCACACCCAGCTAATTTTTGTATTTTTAGTAGAGATGGGGTTTCACCATGTTGGCCAGGCTAGTCTCAAACTCCTGACCTCATGATCTGGCCACCTCAGCCTCCCAAAGTGCTGGGATTACTGGCGTGAGTCACCGCACCCGGCTGGGAGAATGACTCTTAAGGGCAAGGTGCAGAAATGACTGGAGAGTTTCCCACCACCTCTCAGGAACAGGAGTAGAAGAAAGCAGGGAGAAAATCTCTAGGTGCTATTATATATTTCAAACATCACTTGTTTGCATAATAACCAAACACTGAGACAGCAGGCATCAGGGTGCCATGAAGTACAACACAACCCCCACTTCCGTGCTTAAAGAGCTTTGTGAGAGATGTGCCTGTGGACTCCAGGAATGACACGATGTTAGCTGGCAGACACCTCAAAGATCCTCTGATGTCAACACATTGGGAAGGGGCAGGTGAGTGGAAGGGACTTTCCCTTCCACTCACAGTGAGTAACAGACCAAGGGACTAGCGCTTGGGTCCCCTGGATCTGGACCGTCCGTTCTCTAAACTTCATCACACTGACTTCCATGTATTTGGATAGCCAGATCAGTCTTAGGAAGCCAGAGGGTTGTCATGACAGCAAGAGGTAAGGCATCATGGAAAGTTTGGGAGCGGCAATTCAGGAATGTCACTAGCAGTTCATTGTTTTTTTTCACAACCAGGTGCTATTATATTTTTCAGACATCACAGTGGCTGGAAGCAATAGGGTAGAAACAGGTGCCATCGCTTACACCAGGTTCTTTGGGGACCTTGACATCAAGACTGACAGGTCAGATCTTTGGTCACAGGGAGAAGAGTGCCAGCTCACCCAGAAGGCAGAACAGCCAATGGCCATGCCCAGGAAAGGCAGCAGTGAGAGTTGTGAAGGAGAACCAGGGCTCTGTCCCAGTGTCCCAGCCCAGCTACCCAAGTAGAAGGTGGAGCGGCATCTTCTCTGGCTGAACCTTGGGCAGCGGCTGCTCTGCCATGTTGTCAGGCTTCTTCCCCCAGCTCCATGATGTGAAGACTGAGGTGGTCCCTCCAAGCCCCACTCAGCAAGGAGGACAGGGCTGGTGGATCCTCCAGGGTCAGATGGGGAAATAAAAGAGTCTCATTCTTGAGGGGAAAGCTGCACTTCTCCACGGCACGCCTGGTGGTGCCAGGGGTCACCACAAAGAGGCGGCAGAGCCACGGCCCACCGGCCACTTGGCAGACTGGTTGTCTGGTAAAGCTTTTCAGGGCTTGGCACAGGGCACGGTCCTCAGTCCCACCCATGTCCACCACCTCCACTGGTGCCCCCAGGCCTGGGAGGTGAAGGAGGTGCCGGGGAGGCATGTAGGTGTGGGTGAAGAGGAGTGTGTAGTGGGTAGGCACGCTTGGGAGCACAGGGGCGTGGACCACTTGCTCCAGGTACTCTAGGCCGGGCACCAGGCCCCCCTGATGTAGGCAGCCAAAGAAGAAGGCACCGAGGGCATTGAAGAGGACCACGGTACCCTTCCAAGGCACAGGTTGGGTCTGTGGACTACAAAGCAGGACTAGGGGGACCAGGAGGGGAATCAGGAACCGAGCCTCCTGGTGGCTAAAGGCAGACAGCAGGACCAGGGGCGTGAAGTAGAGGAGAAGGAGATACAACCTGGGGCTGGACAGCAGACTCCGGGCACGCTGCGCCCTCAGAAGGCTCCTCTGTGCACAGGCCGGAAGGCAGACTTGCAGCTGCTGCCACGCGGCTTGCAGGGCCTGGGCATGCAGCATCCCGAAGAGCAGGAAGCCGTTGACTGCCAGGTGAGTGAGCCGCACATGTGTGCCATGCCTTGCCAGGTTTTGGGGATTCAGGTTGTAGTGTAAGAAGTTGACAGGTGTAAGGACAAGGGTACTGGATGTAGTGGGGCTGGAGAAATACCAGCTGTCCGTGGCCACGAACACCGCTGCTGTGAGGACCGCCCCTGGCAGCAGCACCAGAGCCTCTCGGGTCAGGGACTTCAAGCCAGGGTTTGTGGCTCCACGAGTGCCCCAGAGGTAGAGCGGGACCACAGCAAAGGCCGGAAAGGTGGGCCGGTTGAAGAAGCCAGCAGCCATGATGGCTCCAAGAAGCCAGTTGTGCCACCACCGACCCGGCGCAGGCTCCTTGGGTGTGGGGCCCCACATAACATGGGAGGATACCAGCACCAGCAGCCACGCCAAGAGCAGTCCCTCGATGGTATTGGAGAAGGTCCTTGTGTAGAAGACCAGGGTGACGTAGGAACCAGACAGCAGGACCAGGGCGTTCCAGCGATCTGCCCCCCACAGTGGGGCCAGGTGGTACACCGCCCCATCCAGGGCAAAGGAGAGGGCAGTGAGGAGGAGTCGGGGCCCCACTAGCAGCACATAGCCACTCACCAGGCCAGGCCACAGGCCTAGCTCTTCCCAGAGCCTGAGCAGCCAGAAGGTAGAGCCAGAGATCAGCAGGGGGAAGACCACCGTGCGGCAGGAGCTGCTGGGGTAAAACTCCCAGGGCCTGGTGGCCTGAATGCCCAGGATGTCCTCTGCAGAGAGAGAGAGAGAGAGAGAGAGAGAGAGAGAGAGAGAGAGAGAGAGGCAGAGGTGAGCCAGTACCAAGCTCAGGATGTAGTGGGCAAAATTCGAGGATGGCACCCAACATTTTCTACCTTTTGGTGTGCCTGCCCAGCCTAAACCCTGGGACTGTGCACAGAATGAATCCCTCCCTCCCTCCCTTCCTCCCTTCCTGATAGGCTGCCTGTCACCCAGGCTGGAGTGCAGTGGCAAGATCATAGCTCTTGCTATGTTACTCAAGCTGATCTCGGACTCCTGGCTTCGAGCCATTCTCCCACCTCAGCCTCCTAGCATGCTGGGATTACAGGTTTGAGCCACTGCACCTGGCCCACAGGATGGATTGTACTCCTGTGATTAGGTTACGTTATACAGGGGCACTGACTGTAAAATAGGGAGACTATGGGGTGGGCCAGACCTAATCACACCAGCTCTTTAATAACAGAGTTTTGCCGGGCGCGGTGGCTCACGCCTGTAATCCCAGCACTTTGGGAGGCCGAGGCGGGTGGATCACAACGTCAAGAGATCGAGACCATCCTGGTCAACACGGTGAAACCCCGTCTCTACTAAAACTACAAAAAATCAGCTGGACATGGTGGTGCGTGCCTGTAATCCCAGCTACTCAGGAGGCTGAGGCAGGAGGATTGCCTGAACTCAGGAGGCGGAGGTTGTGGTGAGCCGAGATCGCGCCATTGCACTCCAGCCTGGGTAACATGAGTGAAACTCCGTCTCAAAAAAAAAAAAAAAAAAAACAGAGTTTTTACCATCTGGATGCAGAAGGGGCAGTCACATTCAAAGCATGAGAAGGATTTGACATGCCACTGCTGGCTTAAAGATGGAAGGGGCCATTGGCTAGGAATGTGGGTGGCCTCTGAAAGCTAAGAGCAAAGAAACCACACCGTAGTTCCACAGCTGATATCAATTAGACTCTGCTGGAATTAGAGAGCTTCCAGACAAGAACTCAGCCCAATCCATATGCTGATGTCCACCTTGTGAGCAGAGAGCCCATGCTGCCCTTCTGATTAACAGAACTGTGAACTCACAAATGGCTGCAGTTTTAAGCTGCTAGGTTTTTGATGATTCATCACGCAGCAGCAGAAACAAGAGTAGGGAAGCTCAGAGTGCAGAGGGCAGGAGAAACTTCCCTGGGAGAGGGAGCAGTGTGTCCTGGGAAGAGTGTGGGAAGTGTGCAGGTGGGGGGAGGCTTAACCTCTTCTCGGGGCTCCAAGATCTCAAAGGTGAGACTCAGAACCCCATCTCTGATAATGATGATCAGGCGGTGGGGGGAGAAAATAGGGGTGGGACGAGCCCTCGGGGTTATGTCAAAGGTGATTTATGTTTAGTTTTGTTTATGATACTTAAATTTTTTTTTCTTTTTTTTTTGAGCTGGAGTCTTGCTCTGTCGCCAGGCTGGAGTACAGTGGTGTGATCTCAGCTCACTGCAACCTCTGCCTCCTGGCGTCAAGCTGTTCTTCTGCTTCAGCCTCCCGAGTAGCTGGGACTACAGTCACATGCCACCATGCCTAGCTAATTTTTGTATTTTCAGTAAAGAAGGGGTTTCACCATATTGGCCAGGCTAGTCTTGAACTTCTGACCTTGTGATCCACCCGCCTCGGCCTCCCAAAGTGTTGGGATTACACTATGAGCCACCGTGCCGGGACCAAATATTTTTTCTTTTCTTTTCTTTTTTTTTTTTTTTTTTAACGGAGTCTCGCTCTGTTACCCAAGCTGGAGTACAGCGGCGAGATCTCGGCTCACTGCAGCCTCCACCTCGCTGGTTCAAGCAGTTCTCCTGTCTCAGCCTCCAGAGTACAGGGACTACAGGCGCCCGCCACCATACCCTGCCAATTTTTTTTTTACTTTTAGTAGAGACAGAGTTTCACCATGTTGGCCAGACTGGTCTCAAACTCCTGACCTCAGGCAATCTGCCCGCCTAAGCTTCCCAAAGTGCTAGGATTACAGGCGTGAGCCACCGCGCCCAGACTTTTTTATTTTTGAGACGGAGTCTCACTCTGTCTATTCTGGCTGGAGTGCAGTAGCACAGTCTTGGCTCACTGCAACCTCCACCTCCCAGGTTCAAGCGATCCTCCTGCCTCAGCCTCTCGAGTAGCTGAGACTACAGGCACGTGCCACCACGCCCAGCTAATTTTTTGTATTTTTAGTAGAGACAGGATTTCACTGTGTTAGCTAGGATGGTCTCGATCTCCTGACCTCAGGATCTGCCCACCTCGGCCTCCTAAGTGCTGGGATTACAGGCGCGAACCACCGCGCCCAGCCTAATTTTTTAATAAGAAGAATATATCCAAGTAGTACTTACATAATTTAAGAAATACTTGCTTCCTGGTCTGTAACCCTGTGCCCAATGTTCCAGAGCTCTGAGGGGTGGGTGTGAGGGAGCAGCTCCACTCCAAGCCTCATTGTTCACAGCATCTCTTGCTTGATCACCCTGCTGGTTGTCTAGAGCTGATTATACAGGCTGGGGATCATTTGGGCTCTTTGATTCTGCTACTTATTTCTCCAGCCTTTCGGCTGTTTTATCTCTCTATGTTAGATAGTGAAAGGGAAGCAAGATCCAGGATCAAATCAATCTGGCTGCTTTTCTGGTTAAAAAAAAATTTTTTTTGTGGGAAAGAAGATGAACCTTTTAACTTAAAAAACAAATTCACATGTTGAGCCCTACGGCAAAGAAAGCTGGTACTTCCCCAATATCTACATCTATTCCCTCCTCCTTCCTTAAACTTTTTTTTTTTTTGAGATAGAGTCTCACTCTGTTGCTTAGGCTGGAGTGCAGTGGCACAATCTCGGCTCATCGCAATCTCTGCCTCCAGGGTTCAAGAGATTCTCCTGCCTCAGCCTCCCAAGCAGCTGGGATTACAGCTGCCTGCCGCCATGCCCAGGCAATTTTTTGTATTTTTAGTAAATATGGGGTTTCATCATGTCGGCCAAGCTGGTCTCAAACTCCTGACCTCAGGTGATCCACCCACCTTGGCCTCCCAAAGACCTGGGATTACAGGTGTGAGCCACCGCATCTGGCTCCTTAGACTCTTTAGCTGGGCATTTGGTCAGATATAAAGACTATATTTTTTAGCTTCCTTTGCAGCCAAGTGTGGTCTCCTGATACATTATGTTCAGTGTGATGGAAATGGGTGAAAAGCATGCAACCTTCAAAATATGACCTTAAAGAGAGAAGAAATGCCTTTCTCCTTTGTTGGCTGGAAAGACTGGTTGAAGACTTACTTGATGGCTGGAGCTCAAGCAGTCGTCTTGAGCCATGAGGATAAAGCCACATGTTCATAACATCTGAAAGGCCTCAAGGCCTTTGGGCAGGATGGCATGGGCAAGGCAAATATCCTCATGATGTGTCCTATACCACCTAACAGATAAGTGAGTGTCCCAGGTCTGGGTTCCCTCACTTGAATCTACAGAAGAGAGGTTTCATTATCTCAGATCACAACCTGTGTAAGCTCAAGCCAAATACTGGGGAAGTCCAACTCTAAAAGTGTTCCACTGGGAAGTCCAACACAGCTTTCGTTCTAAATGACCTGTAGTGTTGGTCCAAGCAGGGATACATCCAAGAGACTGGTGGTTTATTAGCATTACAGAGGAAGGTCAGTGTCACCATTCAGGAAGGAGACATGAAGTCCCCACTTCCAAGTTCTTACCCCAGAGAGGCTGCTTCTCTGCTTGTGGATTTACTACTCATCTGCACGGACATGCTACTCCCTCCCCACAAAATCTCCCATCAGCTTCCCAACCAGACTCTGCTGCAACTTGTCTCTGCCACACATGCGGAGTATTTTACCTGCCATGACCTCAGGTGACTGGAAGAACTCATCTGGGTGCACATAGCCTGTCTGTGGAAGGAGACACCACAGCACTCGGAGCAGGCTGAGGCCACCCCAAAGCACCCTGACTGCCATCTTCAGATCCGACTACTGCGCCCAAAACCTGGAAAATGTCCCAGCTGCTACAGATGCTACGTTGGATCCACAGATCTGCGTCTGTTGAGGATAACACTTGTTGGTTATCGTGATGTAAATTATAATACATTCAACTGTCTGAACAAACTCAAAATGGATCTGCATTTAATAAAAATGACAATAATAATAATAGCTACTTTGTACTAAGTGCCCACTAACTGCCGGGCACTTGACATGCATATTTCATTTAACCCTTTCCACAGTCTGGAGCAGTGGGTCTTAGTATCCCTATTTTACAGATGTCGGGAAACGGAGGCCTCTGTTGAGTAACTTGGTTACTTGCTGCTCATATTTGCTAAGGAGTCTGGTGGTTAATTTTATGTGTCAACTTGACTGGGCTAAGAGATACCCAGATAGCTGGTAAAACATTATGTCTGGCAATGTCTATAAGGATATTTCAGGAGGAGATTAATCTTTGAATTGATAGACTAAGATCATCATCTGCACCAATGCGGGTAGGCATGATCAATCCTTGGAGGGTCTGAATAAAACAAAGAAGTGGAGGAAGGGTGAATTTGCACGCTCTTCACCTGGGACAGCCATCTTCTCCTGTCCTCAGACATTACTGCTCCTGGTTCTTGGACCTTCAGACTCCAGATCTCACACCAGTGCCCCCCAACCCACCTCCCTGAATCAGGTTCTCCATCCTTAAATAGGACTGGGAGTTATACTGCAGGCTCCTCTGTTTCTAAGACTTCTGACTCAGATGGAATTAAACCACAAGCTTTCCTGATTCTCCAGCTTGCAGGTGTCAGATTGCAGGACTTCATCAGCCCCCATGATGGCATGAGCCAATTTTCATAGTAAATGAGAAAGCCAATTCCTGATTGTTTCTGTGTCTCTGGAAAGCCCTGGCTTGTACAGGGTCTAATACGACATTTGCTCAGTGTGACATTTGCAAGTAGGATTAGGGTACCCAGCAAATCTGGGTCTTGCAGCCCCATCCTGATCACCAGCTCCTATCCACAGGCCAGCACGGCAGGCTGTTTCTTGCATTTCTGAAAACTTGGGAAACTCAATGGATTCCACCCATTTCACTGCAAAAATTACACTCAGCCCCATAGTTTCCATTTACTCCCTCCAACTTTCACATACCCTGGAACCTGCCTTTTGGAAGGTGATGGAAACATTTGTAACTCCATATGATGAGAATTCTAACTCCCTCAACTCAAATATAGTATTAACTGAATCCCACAAGTTTTGCTATGTAACTCAAAGAGCAGTGACAATCTGAGCCCATTGCATGCTGGATCTGTAAGTCGGGAGCATCGCTGCTGAACAGGAAAGCAAATTTGACAACCTGCTTGTCACTTCTCCAGAAATAGTGATGTTCCCCTGACTTCTTGATATTTTAAACTCTGACCTTAAATAGTTCTTTCTTTCAGGTTTACACCTGAGAGCTCACACTGTCAGGTGGCTCACACCTGTAATCCCAGAACTTTGGGAGGCTGAGGCAAAAGGATCACTTGAAATCAGGAATTCAGACCAGCCTGGGCAGCAAAGTGAGACCCCCATTTCTACCAAAAAAAATAGTTGGACACAGTGGTGTGCACTCGTAGTCCCAGCTATTCAGGAGGCTGAGACAAGAAGATCACTTGAACCCAGGAATTCGAGGCTGTGGTGAGCTATGATCACACTACTGCACTTCAGCCTGAGTGACAGAGCAAGACACTGTCAAAAAAAAAAAAAAAAAAAAAAAAAAAAACGCCAGGTGCAGTGGCTCACACCTGGAATCCCAGCACTTTGGGAGGCCAAGGCAGGCAGATTGCTTACAGTCAGGAGTTTGAGACCAGCCTGGTCAACATGGCAAAAACCCCTCTCTACCAAAAAAATACAAAAATTAGCCAGGTGTGATGGTGGACACCTATAATCCCAGCTACTCGGGTGGCTGAGACACGAGAATCGCTTGAACCCAGGAGGTGGAGGTTGCACTGAGCTGAGATCACACCACTGAACTCCAGCCTGGGGGACAGAGCAAGACTCTGTCTCAATCAATCAATCAATATTAAAAAAAAAAAAAAAAGTTTTTAACTTTAATTTACCCTACTCTGCTATCAAACATTAGAACTTTAATCTTCTAACTGCGTGTTTATACTGTAGCTTATATTCTTAATTCATGTTTATTCCTAATATCGGTTACTTGTACCTTCTTTTTTCTTTCTTTATAATCCTCACCAGAATTTTGTTGATTTTGTGAATCTTTTCAAAACATCAACTTTTGGCCTTGCTGTTTTTAATTTCTTTGCTCATCTTTATTTTTTTTTTCCTTTTACTTTTTTTGGGGATTATTTTATTGTTTTATTTCAAATCTTTTGATATGAACACAGCTCATTAATTTTGAACCTTATTTTCTATGAGAAGTATTTAAGGCTACACATTTTTCTCTAAATATAGTATTAACTGCATGCCACAAGTGTTGCTATGTAATAATTTCATCAACTTTTGGTTCTAAATATTTCTAATTGCCATTGTTAATTTCTTCTTCCACCAATGTCTTATGGTTGAAGGATTTAATTTTTTTTTTTTTTTTTTTTTTTTTTTTGAGATGGAGTCTCGCTCTGTTGCTGGCTGGAGTGCAGTGGCACAATCTTGGCTCACTGCAGTCTCTGCCTCCCGGGTTCAACCAATTCTCCTTCATCAGCCTCCCAAGTAGCTGGGATTACAGGCATGCACCACCACACCCAGCTACTTTTTGTATTTTTAGTAGAGATGGGGTTTCACCAGGTTGGCAGGAAGATCTCGATCTCCTGACCTTGTAATTCGCCCACCTTGGCCTCCCAAAGTGCTGGGATTACAGGCGTGAGCCACCGCACCAAGCCGAAGGATTTAATTTATTTTTTTTTTTTTTTTTTTTTTTTTTTTTTGAGACAGCATCTAGCTCTGTAGCCCAGGCTAGAGGGAGTGCAGTGGGACGACCTCGGCTCACTGCAACCTCCGCCTCCTGGGTCCTGGTTCAAATAATTCTCCTGCCTCAGCCTCCCGCATAGCTGGGATTACAGGCATGTGTCACTATGCCCAGCTAATTTTTGTATTTTTAATAGAGACGGGGTTTCACCATGTTGGCCAGGCTGTTCTTGAACTCCTGACCTCGTGATCCACCTGCCTCGACCTCTCAAAGTGCCGGGATTAAAGGCATGAGCCACCGTGCCCGGCCAGGATTTAATTTTTAATGGTCATTTTTGTAGATATTCCATGGATGCTTGAAAACACTATATATTCTATACTTACTAAATGAGGAGTTCTATATATTGACATTAGATCAAACTTATTAGTTGTGTTGTTGAAATCTTTTTTTTTTTTTTGAGACAGGGTCTCACTGTGTTGTTTATGCTGGAATGCAGTGGCATGATCATGGCTCACTGCAGCCTTGATCTCCTGGGCTCAAGCAATCCTCTGACCTCAGCCTCCTGAGTAACTAGGAAGACAGGCATACACCACCAAGCTTGGTTAATTTTTAAATTTTTTGTAGAGACAAGATCTTGCTATGTTGCCCAGGCTGGTCTTGACCTCCTGGGTTTCAAGCAGTCCTCCCACATTGGCTTCCCAAAGTGCTGGAATTACAAGCATGAACCACCATGCCTGGCCCAAATCTTTTATATTCTTAATTTATTGATTTTTTACTGCTTATTTTATCAGTCACAGAAATGTGTGTTGAACTAGCTCATGAAATAGTTGACTTGTGTAATTTTCCTTATGATTCTGCCAATTTTAGTTTATTTTTGAAGCTATATTATTATATTTGTAGAAGTTTATAACTGTTATACCTAATTGGAAAATTGAATATCTTATCATTATATAGTTACCTTTTAATCTCTAGTACTATTTTGTCCTAAAATATGTTTTGTCTGATATTAATGTAGGTATACACACTTTTCAGAAATTTAGTATTTACCTGGTACATACTTTTCCACCCTTTTCTTTTCTTTTTTTCTTTTTGAGATGGAGTCTCACTGTCTTGCCCAGACTGGAGTGCAGTGGCGTGATCTCAGCTCACTGCAACCTCTGCCTCCTGGGTTCAAGCAATTCTCCTGCCTCAGCCTCCCAAGTAGCTTGGACTATAGGCGCAAACCACCATGACCGGCTAATTCTGATATTTTTTGTAGAAATGAGGTTTTGCCATGTTGGCCATGCTGGTCTTGAACTCCTGACCTCAGGTAATCTGCCCTGTTGCTGGCTGGAGTGCAATGGCACAATCTCAGCCTCCCAAAATGTTGGGATTACAGGTATGAGCCACTGTGCCCAGCCAATTTACTGTTATTATTGATATATTTATTTCTACCATCCTATTTTGTTTTCTTTTCTTGTTTTTTCAATGATTTTTTTGGTCCTTTCTTGCCTTCTTTTGGACTGATATTTTTTCTCTTTTCTCTCTACCAGTTTGGAAGTTATATATACTCAGTTTCCAATATGCTATAAAATACAATATATTATTTAATATTTTAATATTTAGTATACTATGTTATGTGTCTTCACTATTAAATTCTGGGTGCACATTTCTTTTTACTTATTATAGTTGAAAATTTTTTGGCTTCTTGAACCTGTGGATTAGGACCCTTTGTCATTTATAGAAAGTAATCCTCCATTAGACTGTATGCTGCTGATAAAGACATACCCAAGACTGGATAATTTATAAAGGAAAAGAGGTTTAATGGACTCACAGTTCCATGTGGCTGGGGAGGCATCACAATCACGGTGGAAGGCAAAGGCACATCTTACATGGCAGCAGGCAAAAAGCAAATGAGAAGGAAGCAAAAGGGGTTTCTCCTTACAAAACCATCAGATCTCGTGAGACTTACTACCACGAGAACAGTATGGGGGAAACCACCCCCATGACTCAATTATCTCCCACAAGGTCCTTCCCACAACATGTGGGAATTATGGGAGCTACAGTTCAAGATGAGATTTGAGTGAAGACACAGCCAAAACATATCATAGACCTTCTCAGTCTACCTTCCACGTCTCTTTAAGTTTTATTTCATATTTTCCAGATCTTTATCTCTCTTGGCTATATGTCAGATAAGCTCTGTTCTGTCTTTCATGTCTCTAGTCATCCTTTCAGCTGTATCTAGATGTTAAACCTGTGTATTGAGTTTTAAATTTCAGTTGTTATATTTTTCATTTCTATAAACTGTTTGATTTTTTTCATATCTGCTTGATCTTTTTTCCCTCACAATAGTGATTTTATTAAATTAGCTGCTTTATAAAACACTGCAGATGTCATAATTGTTAACAATTTACCAAACTGTAGTTAACTGGTACAGTTTGCTAAGCATGTTTTATAAAGGAAAGGAAATGCCAAAACCCTGGTAAAGTTGTTCCATTGCAGCCTAAGAGAACGAAGATTTGTTTCTCAGACATTTAAATCAGGCAAATAAAAACAGGTAAAGAGTTTCCCTCTCCCATCTGAAGCACTTCATCAGTAGAAATAGCCTGATAAATAATTAGACAGTCTTTGCACTCAAGAGATTCCACAACATGTAATGCAATAATGGAGAGGTTTACCTTTTTTAGCTTCAAAGTTGGAGGGTTTTGGTCATTTAAATTTTATATCAAACTAATGCTTTTCAGCCGCAGTATCTTCACTCAGAGATAAGCAGTCTTCTTCACAATGTATTTTTAATATCCTTATGTTCAATTTTAAGACAAAGCAATTTTACTACTAGGTGCACACCACATGCCCTTGCTGCAAACTGCCTTTCTTGACAAGTTATGAAGTAGTTCAAGGAGGTATGGTTAAGGCTGTATTACTGAATGGTGCTGGTAAATACTACACATTTTTTTTTCTGTCATGTTGCAACATTTTTCCAATTTAGTGACTGCTGCTATGAAATCAGATAGCAACAATGACAACATTATGAGGTTTGTTTTGAACTATGATTTAGTAGCAACTGAGGTTCCCAATTTTAACCCCTTGGCAGCAAGATCCAAGTTCCCTTATTTGCACATTAGCACCAAAGTGTCAAGGGGTTAAATAATAAGCACAAAAGATACTGCACTTCTGATTGTAGCATTTGGCAGAACTGAAAAGAAAGGATGTTGTGCTACATGTTCAAGGGATTGTGGGCAACATAAAGATGACACCAGGAGAAGATAAAAATGTCACATGAAGTCTTCATAGTCTTGTACATATCCTCCATTGTAACCACCATAATCTGCCAGATCATCTTTCATGGTGGCTTTTAACCCCCCTCCAGAAACCACACCTTTCTTCTTATTGGCTTTGCTTTGCTTGCTTCTGTTTTTCACTGCAAAGCACAGTCAGTGAATTGGTAATCTTTTTCAAATCATCAGTTTCCAATGAAATACACACATCTCGAACTAAGACTTCCAAAAAACTGGCATAATATAGTGACTTTTCATATTGTGTAATTTTATCTCTTAGTAATGTTCCAAACTCTGTAAAATCATCTCTTGAAGATGGGTTCATAGCATCTACTCCATAAACTATTATTAACACCTTTGCTAATTCGAGGTCGGACTCTTCCTGTAATTTCTTTAGCCGCAGTTTATCTGCTAATTGTTCTTCTTGTGTTGGCACTTCAGGTTCTTGTAACTTCTTTTTAATTTCTTCTTGCCTTTTCTTCTGTTGCTGTTCTTTCTCTTTTATCTTTTATCTTCTCTGCTATTTTTTTCTTTTCCGAAATTTTTACCTTTTGTTTTCCTTCCTTCTTTTTTTTTTTTTTTTTTTAATCATCATCGTCATCCCAGTTAGCTTTGACGTTCTCATCCTCGTCCCCGCCTTCCCAGAGGTCCCCGCCGGCAGTTCCGCCGCCCCCACGGAGAACGCATCCTCAACCCAGGAGTCGGAGTGCCAGCCGCTGCCGCCGCCGCCACCTCGAGCCCGGTGTGAGCGTGTGTCACGGGGAGAGCTAGCGAGTCATATCTGCTTGCTCTTTTGTGATATTTTCAAGACTCTTTTATTTATTAAATGATATCAAAATACTTATTGGATATACTAGGTTTTATAACTCCAGCATCTAAAATCTGGGTCTGAATCTGCTGTCTTGTTTCTGCTGGAACTCACTCATAGTGCCCTGTTTATGTGTGTGTGTATATATATGTATATATATATATATACACATATATATACACACACACACACATATATTCACATCTTTTGCTCCAGGTTTTGTGTGTGTGTGTTTTGTTTATCTTTTAGGAATGGGGATAGTTCCTGGTCAGGTAAATTCGTGAGGGCAGGCTCCGTTACAAATTCTGAAGGGAGACACCTCACCCCCAGCTCAATTTGATAAGCATCAGGATCCAAAAAGGGCAGTTTTCCTTTCAGTCCTGTAGGGATGGAAGAATTTATTTCTTAGGCCACCTTTATACTGGAACGTGGCCCTCCAGCATCACAGTTTTGGGGGAATCTCCTGTTAGTTAGACTTCCCTCTTGTTGGGTAGTAGGCTTTATCTTCTGTCTTGCTAGTCCTGAGAAGCCACCAAGTCCTGAAATCCTAATTTGCATAACCCAACTTTGAGGGTATCTACAAAAAAAACTTTTTGTTTCCTGGCCTTTACAGTACAATAAGACACCCTAGACGGAGATAGAAATAGTGAAAGGGGTCCCTGCTGTTAAATGGCACGCAGTGTAGGGACCTGATGTGGCCAGTGGTTTGGATAATGAGGAAGCCAAGGAGGCTCTCAAATTCACACAGTTTTGTGTGTGTCCTCAAGTCCAAATCTGGCTCTGGCACCTTGCATACCTCTCTGTCTCTGTCTTCATGCCTAAGTATGACTTATGTTTTATTCAGCTTAAATACTATTTTATTCAGCATTTTAGTTATTTTCAACACTTTAGTAATTTTATAATTCAAGGACAACTTTCCACTTGTGTCCTGTTTAACAACCTTTATTATTTTTTTTACTATTCATAAACATAATACAAGATCGTTGTAGAAAGAGTAAAAAGTGCAATAAGTCAAAAGGGGAAAATGGAAATTACATGCAGTTCCTGACACTCAAAAAACACTGTTAACATTTTGATATATGATTTTTCTTGGAGAATATAGGATTATATTTCTGCTTATTCATACATATCTACAGTTTGGCATAATGTTGGCATAAGAAATAGTCATGTTGAGAGATAAGACAGGGATTGAGAACAGCTAAGTTAGTTTAAGCTGTGTCAAGTTAATTTCAAGGAAGTCATATATTTAAGGGACAGCCTTAGTCAGCAGATCCTTCTGGTCATGATTTAAGGGAAGAGGGCAGGAAACATGAGGGGACCGTGTTGCAGTCACATCAGTGCTTTTTAAGGATGTTTCTCAAGACTACTATGGGGGAACTTGTATGTCTCCACAACTGTTGAAGGCATCTGTTGAGGGTGAGTGGGGATAGAGGATGCTATGCTGAGGTCTCTGAGCTGAGCTCCAGAAGAGCTGATGGCAGGCTGTTCCTCAGCATATGGGAGGGTGGGAAAGTTGGCATCATGACTTCAGCTATGGAGCAAGCCAGTCTCACGGGCATGTGGCCTTCAATAGTATGGGTCTGCTGGCCAAGTGTGGTGGCTCACAGCACTTTGGGAGTCCAAGGTGGGTGGATCACGAGGTTAGGAGTTCAACACCACCCTGGCCAAGATGGTGAAACCCATCTCTACTAAAAATAGAAAAAAATTAGATGGGCGTGGTGGCACATGCCTGTAGTCCCAGCTACTTGGGAGGCTGAGGCAAAAAATCGCTTGAACCTGGGAGGCAGAGGTGGCAGTGAGCTGAGATCTCACCACTGCACTCCAGCCTGGGCGATAGAGCGAGACTCCGTCTCAAAAAAAAATAATAATAATTTTAAAAGTATGAGTCTGTTGTCTTGTATCTCACCCTCTCCCACTCTTATCCTGCTCTCCAGTTACTACACACCCTGCCCATGCCTGTGCTATTGGCTGGGGCTGCTCCATCTCAATAGTGTAGCTTTGCAACACTGAAATTGAGTTTTGTCTCTGTAAGGGATGTCTGACAATTCAGTGAGTATTTTCAATGTATCTATTATATATTTGTAAATGGAAGGTTATCATACAACGTTCGCTTTAAAATATGCTTATATCACTTAGCAAAATATGACCATCTTTCCATATACCATGAACATCCCCTTCCACCATCTGCAAGTTCTCCTTTCATCAAGCATCTACTCCCTCCCTCTGTTCTCTTTGATTGACACCTTCCTTTCCATAGATAAACACATTTGATTCTCCACCATTTTTAGAAAAACAATCAACCAAAATTATCTTGAAACTGTGTGTCCCCTCTTTCCACTACTACCTCTCTCTCCTCCTTCCTTCACAGGAATCCTCAAATCTTCTGCACTCCTCCCTTTTTAATTTCAATTTTTTTTAGAGAGGGGGATCTTGCCTCCTCAGCTTCCCCACTGTCAAAACCGTTGGCCACTTCAGGCCCCTCCACTGCATGCCATTTGACAGCAGGGATCATTTCTACTCTTCCTGTCTCCTTCTAGGGTGTCTTACTGTACTGTGAAGGGTAGGAAATGAAAAGTTACATTTTGTAGATACTCTTGAAGTTGGGTTACGCAAATTAGCTTTTCAGAATTTAGAAAGCAGATGTGAGACAGGCCATATTTTTTGCAGTTTTCTTTGTTTTCTCTTGGCAAACAAGATTGTTGAAAACACGGAGTTTTCCTGCATTGGCTCTCCACTATCCAGTCCCTGCTTTGTGGGAATGGAGAACACAACTGCAGTTATGGTGGCCACAGTGCTGTGTCACAAAACCCAGCTAAGTTCTACAGGTGGCTTTATACTAGCCTGACTGTCACAGAAGTGGCAGCCCCTCTATGGAGTTACTTCTGGTGTTCAGAGAGTCTTTCCCGGAGGTCCAAACAGAGATCATTTTTCCATGTACTGAATGATTTTTACTACCTATTTCCCTGTATCAAATTCCTTTTCTGCTGGCTTCTATTTCTTGTACTGAACCTTCACCATTTAGTATCAGAAGTGCCTGTAGCCAATAGATCCCTAAGGATGACAATATTCATTTGCTAAGATAAAATAACTACCTGTCTATCCTTTATGTCCTGAAAGAAAATAATCTTTCAAGAACAAGGGCAAAGCAAAGATCTTTTTAAGAAAACCAAAACTGAAAAGTCTTCACAAGCAGATCTTCAGAAAATTATGAAGAATATATATCAGGCAGAAGGCAAAATGATTCCAGATAGATCTGAGACGGAAGTAGGACTAAAGAATAAAAAGTTGATCATTAAGTGAGAGACATCTGGAAGGTAGAAGTCAAATAAGTATCTTTCTGCTGCTTTGACTGTTTTCTTCTAGCAAATAAGGTGTAGGAGATGGTTACGGTTTCTGAAGTAGTACTCCATGTTCATTCACCAGCTTCATTGGGTGCTGCTGATAGGTGGCTTGTGGTGGTTTGGCAATGGCTTTCTAACCCGGAGTCACAAATAAAGCACTGTGTTCTTGAGTGTGATAGTTCCAGTGGTGGTCTCCTATGTCCCCACCTTCCTGATAGGGGACAGAAGTAGTAGCTTCATTGGGCAGTTTTGCAGTGTTCTAGCAATCATTTCTGGGGATTCGGCTTAGAGCTTGGCCACCCAGTACTTACAAAGGTTTTATAAGCAGCTAATTCCCTATATTAAACTCCCTTTTACATAAAACATTTAGTTGTTTGCAAACAACATCAACAACAAAAACAATGCAAGCTGGCTTCAACAATTCATCATATTGCCAGCCCTGGTGATGCACCCCTGTCATCCCAGCTACTTGGGAGATGGAGGCAGAAGGATTGCTTGACCCCAGGAGTTCAAGGTCAGCCTGACAACATAGCAAGACCCTCATCTCTTAAAAAAAAAAAAAAAAAAAAAAAAAGCAGGAAACAATTCATCATGTCACATAAAAAAACCCTTGGTACTGCCAGGGTCCCGTGCTGCTTCTCAGGTCAGCCTTGATGCTGCCTTTCTCTTTGTGTGGACATAATCCTCAGTTCCAGCCATCCCATCCAGACATGACAACCCTGTATTTTTGAGGCTCTTTTTAAAGCAGGTTTATTGAAATATAATTAATATACCGTACAATTCGTTTAAAGTATACAATTCAATCGTTTTTGGTATATTCCTAGACAGGTGCAACCGTCACCACAGTCAGTTTTAGAAATTTTCATCACTCATGAAGAACCCCATATCCTTGAGTTATCACCTCCCATCCTCCTCTACCACCCAGGACTCTGGGAATCACTAATCTATTTTTTTGTCTCTATAGAGTTCCCTGTTCTGGGCTTCCATATGAATAAAATGTCTGTGGGCTTTTGTGGCTGGCTTCTTTCACTTAACAGAATGGTTTCATGGTTCATCTGTGTTGTAGCAGGTATCAGTACCTCCTTACTTTTTATGGCCACATGATATCCCATTGTATGGATGTACCATATTTTGTGTGTCCATTCATCTGTTGATGAACCTCTGAGTTGTTTCCATGTTTTGGCCATTGTAAACAGTGCTACTATAAGCTTTTGTGTACAAGTTTATGTGTGGACATATGTCTTCATTTCTCTTGGCATATGCCTCGGATTGGAGTCCTTGCATCCTACGGTAACTCTATGTTTAGTCATTTGAGGAAACTTCCAGGTTGTTTTCCAAAGTGACTGTATCATTTTACATTCCCACCAGAAATGCATGATAGTTCTGACCAACACTTGTTATCTGACCTTTGGATTCCAGGCATCTCAGTGGGTGTAAAGTGGTATCTCATTGTAGTTTTGATTTGCACCTGCATCTCTCTCTTTCTCTCTCTTTCTTTCTTTCTTTTTTTTTTTGAGATAGAGTCTTGCTCTGTCACCCAGGCTGGAGTACAGTGTCACAATCTCGGCTCACTGCAGGCTCTGCCTCCCAGGTTCCAGTGGTTTTCCTGCCTCAGCTTCCCGGGTGGCTGGGATTACAGGCACATGCCACCATGCCCAGCTAATTTTTGTATTTTTAGTAGAGACGGAGTTTCACCATGCTGGCCAAGCTGCTCTCGAACTCCTGACCTTAGGCGATCTGTCCACCTCAGCTTCCCAAAGTGCTGGGATTACAGGTGTGAGCCACCGAGCCTGACCTGCACCTGCATTTCTTTTTAAAATCAAGGAAATCTTTTCCAGAAGTTCCCCAGAAGACTTTTATCAAGTGCTGTTGAACAGAACTGCATCAAATACACCTTCCCAAACCAGTCATTGGCAAGGGAAATGAGATTACCAATGAAGACTCACCTCTGGTGTTGGAACTGGGACTGTGGGTGCTTACCCTAACAACAGGTTCTGTTAGGAAGGAGAAAGGAGGCAGAGGATCAGCTGTGTGGTTGCTACATGTGACTTCCACAGGCTCTCATCCCCTGGCCATTTGTTCTTAGGCCCCTCTTCCTCCGCCCACCCCTTAAATGTCAATACTCCTGGTCTTCAATATCCTCCAAACACACTCTTTCTGGATCATCTCATTTATTCTTATGGTTTCAGTTTCTACTTTATGACTTCTGAAATTGCTTCTTTTCTGAGCTTCAGATTTACTGATATTAATAAGAAACAATATAACAATAATAATAGTACTGACATTTATTAGGTGCATATTACCTTCCAGGCTCTGTACCTCATCTTATTTAATTATCACAACTTTATAACCCTATCCCCCCACCACCCACTTTTTTTTTAAGACAGTGTCTCACTCTGTCACCCAGGCTAGAGTGCAGTGGTGTGATCTCAGCTCACTGCAACCTCTGCTTCCCAGGCTTTAGCAATTCTCCCACCTCAGGCTCTGCAAACCTATTCTTATTCCTGTCTTACAGACAAATAAACAGGTTTTTTGCCCAAGTTAGCAGAACTAATAAGTTGGTGAAACTAGAAGTTGGACCCAGTCTGTCTGACCCCTATGCCCTGCTCCACTGCCTGTTAGGCTTCTGAACCTAATTCAGACACATGGCAGCCAAACAGAACTCATCATCTTCCCTGGAAACAGCTCTGTCCCCATGTTCCCTGCAGCAATGAGGGAACTACCATGTATTTGTGTGCTAAACTTCTGGTACCAATTTACTGTATTAATCTGTTCTCACACTGCTATAAAGAACTACCCAAGACTGGGTAATTTCTAAATAAAAAAGGTTTAATTGACTCACAGTTCTACATTGCTGGGGAGGCTTCAGGAAACTTATAGCAGAAGGAGAAGTAGGCACCTTCTTCACAAGGTGGCAGGAGAGAGTGTGGGTGGAGGAAAAGATGGATGCTCATGAAACCATCAGATCTCATGAGAACTCCCTCACTGTCATGATAACAGCTTGGGGGAAACTGCCCTATGATCCGATCACCTCCCACCAGGTGTCTCCCTCAACACCTGGGGATTACAATTCAAGATGAGATTTGGGCAGGGACACAAAGCAAAACCGTATCATATAATTTACCCAATTTAGTCCAGAATCCCCTGGTGAAATGCAGGTGCTATCTCCCTTTTCCTTTGTCCCTTCACTATGTAATGCCAAGTTTGCTTGCTAATTATTCCTTGAACCCAGCTCTTGTTCATTCTCCACTATCATTATCTGCGTCCAGGTATGCTGTGACTGGTGTGCATGTGCCTGGGATTTCTCAGCCTCAGGGCTGGCTGTGCAGAATCTTCGCATGGCTAGAGACCCTGGGTTGGTTGTTTCCACCTGCAAACAGCCCCCCTCCTTTGTCAACCAGTGTGTCATACAACAGGAATCTTTTTCTGTGTATACATAATGAGAAACATGTTAAGAAGCATGACCTGGAGTAGACTGCACCCACCACCCACCTCTCCACTTTCCCTCTCTCACTGCATCCTTCCTCCTGACTGTGGCAGACAGAGGTTGAATCGCTCCCTTGCGATAAACCTCTGGATCGGGGGCCATCCCCTCACCACCATCAGGACCAGGTCCACATTACTTATTGTGGTTTATTGCTGGCAACAGGCCTTAAAGCAACTGGCCACAAACAAAATGTCTATAGCACTGTAACATACTTATGATGGCAGTGATGCACATTGCTGGAGGTTGTTGGTTTACTGGAGCGAGGGAAAGAAATACCTGACCCTTCCTGGGTGGAAGACCAGTTAAAGGCATTCCAGAACTGGTGCCCTGAAAATGTGTTCCAGTTGCAGTAGACATATGCATCAGAGCCTGTTTATCGCCACTAGGAAAGAATGCTTTGTTCCTGTGAAGAATGATTTTAGTTAATCTATAAACTGCAGTAATGATGATTATCACTTGCTTGCTGTCAATAAATATGTGGGTCAAACTCTGTTCAAGGCTCTCAGCTGGGAAGGCTGAAGCCCCCGATGCCCCACCTTTTGCTCTTTGTGTCTGTTTCTTAATTCCTTCAGTGCCGCCTGGGTTGGGGTGTCTGTGACCGAACTGGTCTTGGCAGCTGACAAGGCCCTCCATGGCTTCCAGTGTCCCCTCCTGCCTCCACTCATGTCTTCATGAGTAGAATTCTGTGCTCCAGAAACATCATGCCTTTCTGCAGTCCTCTCCTCTATACTGTGCTGTTTCTCACCCCAGCTTCTTGGCTAATGTGGTTTCACTTGCCCAATATGCTAATAACATGGAGGTTAAGACCAGCGGTGGCATCAAGTAAACTGGGTTCAAGTCCTTGCTCTGTCACTTGTTCATGGTGAAAGAGCACTTAATCTCTCTGAACCCCAACGTATACCCCAGTTATAAAAAGAGCACCCATCTCAGGGCTGTTGTGAAGATGAAATGAAGAAAACAGGCAGACATAGTGGTTGATTTTGTTATCCATTTTGCTTAACTGCCATGACCCCCAAGAAGGCTTCCCTAACCCTCCTTCTGAAGGACCCTGTGCAAAACTCTACAGGCACCATGCATTGACAGTTGTCTGACTGTTTCTCTGCCTCGTTTGGCTGAGGTCTCCCAGGCCTGGAATCCTTTTGAGAGTCATCTCAGGGCTTGAGTCCAGCTTGGGAAGGCCCACTGCGGCCCATCGGTCAAGGACGGAGCAGGAGGTCCTTGGGAGAAGGTGGCAACATAGTGGGTCATCGACTATAACAAATGTAGGAGCTCTGTGGAACAACACCCGCCCGCCGCCGGCTTCCCAGTCTGAGACCCCAATGAAGGAGCTGTCCAAGTGGCCGCCTCTCATCTTTCATCCCAGGGGGTGGAGCCAAAGCCAAGCATGGCGACTCACCTTAACCTAATCAGGATGCAGCCTGCTCATTCATTCATTTATTCAGAGAGATCTGTCAGGGTGCCAGTCAGGTGCTGGTCCAAATCTTGCATCTCCAGCAGCCTCCTGGTGGTCGGTCCCCAGGAGGGCTCGCGAGCGGCTTTAGAGTGAAGGGACAGCGCTGAGTCGCGGAGATTGGGCAGGGGAGCCAGCGTTGACAACCACATCGACAGGAGCATCCCGCGCTCGTGTGTGGGAGAATGTGTAAGGCAAGCAGGAGGGAAGAGACCATCTCGGAGACAAGGGAACAGCCAAGCAGAAACCACTGTGCTGGGCGCGTGGGGGAGGCGGGGAAAGGTAGCACATGTGTAGGGCGGGAGGAGCGGAGGGAAGGGAGTAGGAAAGACTGCTCTGGCCAGCGGCGGGTGATGGGGACACCGGTCAAGCTCGCTGAATCCGAGTGCCTGGGCAGGCGTTTAGTGCTCCATGTTTCTCCGGCGCCCAGCGTGTGCGCAGAACCGTGTCGGCTCCGGGGACGGAGTGAACCAGCACCGTCCGGAATGGCAAAACCATCGCTTGTGGCTCATTCCAAGAAAGGTCCCTACCTTCATATGTAAGCATCCTTACCAAGCTGTTGGGGCGCGGCTTACAAGAGAGGGCGGCGGGCCCAAGGTTCGGCCCCTTTCTCCGGATCTGGCATTTGGAGCAGGTTTTAAGACTTCGGGAAAAGTGGGGCCCCTGCGCAACCACTAAAGGCTGCTTCAACGGCCCTCAGGACTAAGATCTTGTTCCAGTCCTCCAGTCCTCCAATCCTAGGGCTCTACCCCAGGGGTAGAGGGTGAGAGTGGCTCCCCAGAGTACATTTGCCTTTTGGTGTAGCATTGCATCCTCATTTTGACTCTGGGGCCTGCAGTAAGCCCTGCAGGGTGCTCCACCTTGACGCATGGGAAAATCCGATGCTGGCCGCCTTATTCCGCCGGTTGCCTGAAAAGGCCCGTGTTTATCCTTCGCTCAACAGAGAACGCAACACACAACATTAAACACACATAAAGAGAGTGAAAGAGAGCAAGGCATCTTCATCAACAAGGGCGCACCATTTAACCACCCGCGACCTCGCAGTGCGCCTCTGCAAAATGGGGGTTCCTCTCTGTAGCAGGAAATGGGGGTGTTAATTTTGAAAGCGGTTCCGTTTTCCGAGGCCAAGGTGTCTGGGGCTGAGAATGGCTTTTGAGGACTGGTGAGAAATGTCGTCATTACCGAACTTTCCCCGCCACACTGTGAGTCCCACGCAAAGGCCCCATGACTACCAACCCGAGCGCTGGGTGCTCCCTGGCAGGGTCACCTTTGCCTTGTCCACGCCCCCATGCGTCCCCTGGCCAGGAGGCCATCCTCTCATCCTGGGAGGGCAGGCCTGTCCCGAAGTGCTGCCCCCAAGGCCGGGAGCTGAGATTCTTCTCGGCGTCCGGCCCAGCGCTTTCCAACTCTTGCCCTGTTGAGGGGGCATTCTCCTAGGGGGAATACCTGGGGAAACTGAGACCCAGTGCGATTATGGGCCTCCCGGAGAACACCAGCCGCCAGCACAAGTGGATTCAACCCTAGGCCTCAGCCTGGGCCCAGAGCCGTGCTTTGGAGTGGAGTTTACCCACGGCTGCCCTTCTTGGGCAAATGTCACCGTTGCCCCCGTCCCCGTAGGTCCGGAGCAGGTGAGTGCTCCAAGCCAGCGGACCGCGGCCTAGGGACAGGTGCCCGCTAGAACGTGGGGGCCCCCGGTTCCCCTGCTGTCCTCCCCAGAGGCTGGGCCTGCTGGTCTCCCGGCTGTGCGCAAGGTGGGGACGGAGCCGACTGTGCTCCCCTCGCCCTCCCGGCACCGGCTCTTCTGGGCCCGCTGGGGCTGCGCACCGACTCACCCGCGCGGCCTCCGGGCTGCGCCTGCAGCGCTGGCGGCGTCCGGCCCGGCGAGGACCCGGGTCCCAGGTGGCCCCAGAGGCGGTGGAACCGGAGGGCGGGAGGGGAGGCAATGGGAGCGACCTGGCGCCACTCAGCCGCTCGGAGACTGGGCCCACCGCCTCCTGCGCGGGGCCAGCGGGGGTGGGAGGAGGAGCGCGCGGGCGGGGCCGCCGTGTGAGTCCCCGCGCTCCCTCCTGGCCTGGTCCGGAGGTCCCGGGCGAGCTGAGGCCACGCTGAGGAGGGTCCTGAGGGCGCCGCGGTCCCTCCGGCCGGGCAACGCCAGGCGGGGATGGGTGTCGCCCGGCCGCGCTCAGGCTCCCTCCTCTGCAGCCTCTGCTACACGAGCGGCGCCCTTTCAGCGCGAGGGGATCTTAAACCAAAAACCCCGGCCACCCTTCTCTTGTTGGAAATGACCATTTGGGGGTTCTCCGTGGTGGGGAGTTCTGCCGGTACCGCCCGGCTTCCATGCGCCAGAGGTCGGCGAGGGCAGCGCGCGGTCCGGGCGTGCTGCCCACAGTCCTGCTCCGTGGCCCGCAACGCCTCAAAATGGAGTCACTCATGACAGGTGACTCAGCGCATAGGGAGGCTGCTGAGCCCCGCAGTGATCAGCGTGTGCGTGCTGTTCCCAGGCAATCACGCCTCGGGCAGCCCCAGACCTGACAGGAAAGTGAAGCCGAGAGGCGGCTGAGAGAACAGTGGCGACACCGTGGAGGTCCCAGAACCCCGCAGGGCACTGACCCTGAGGCGCCTCTCCCTGCGCCTGAGGGCGGCGTCCGCGGGGAAGTGCGGCCCGGAGGGGTCCGTGTCGGCGCGCGGGGCTGGCGCTGCTGCTGCCTCTCCTCAGCCTGTGCCTGTGGGATCCGGTGGCTTGTCGGGGTGGGAGAGCCTCGGGTAACCCAGGCACCCAGGCACTCATTTGGCCACCGAGCCGTTGTGGAGGCGCCCGGAGTCCGCACAGCGAGGCTGACGGGGACCTGACACGGTCACGCGGCGCCGGGGAGCAGGCTCAGGTGGCCTGCGGCGGGCAGTGCTGCCCCTCCGCGTCCCGCAGGCGGGGACGGGCGACGGCTCTAGAGGGCTGCTGGGAGGCCGCCGTGTGGACAGGGAGCCAGTGCCCGGGAGCCAGGCTGCCTCCCGGAACGAGACGCCAGGCCCCCGGGAGCCAGGGCGCGACTCGCGGGCACTCGTGTCCTGGCCGGTGGCCTTGCCGCTGCGGGCTGCGCAAAGAGCGGGGTAGCGCGACGCAGTCCCTCACCACGCAGGGGGAAGAAGGCGTCACCGCTACCCCACAGCATCCCCGCCGCGTGAGCGTCCGGCCAGCGCCGCCGGCCCAACGCTGCCCCCTGGCGGGAGAGCGCTGCAGGAGCCCTGGCGAGGCAGAGCAGCAGGACCAGACCTCCGCGCTGGCCTCGAGTCAACGCTGCCTCGGAGGGTCGGGAGCAGGGTCGCCCTCCATGTCCCATAGCAACCCTCACATTAAAAACAACGAGTTTATTGAGATATGATATATTATATGCATACTATAAATACCAGAAAATTTAAGTATGGTTCATGGAAGTATACAGTTCTATGACTTCTTTATTTTTTAGATACAGGGTGTCTCTCTGTCGCCCAGGCTGGAGTGCAATGGCACTATCTTGGCTCAGTGCAGCCTTGACCTTCTGGGCTCCAGCGCTCCTCCCGCCTCAGCCTCCCGAGTAGCTGGGACCACAGGCGCCGCCATGATGCCCGGCTCAGTTCCATGACTTTTGACACATGAAACCACCATGCTAGCCTCCCCTCTGTTCAAGAAGCATATTTCCTCTCCTCCCAAAAGTACCCTCCTGCCCTTCTGCAGCAAATCCTTCACCTCCCCTCGACCCTGTCTCCAGACAACTGTTCATCTGATGTCTGTCACTGCACTTTGTCTTTCTCAGAATTGCATACAAGAAGGGTTCACTGCCTGGTCTTTTGTGCCTGGCTTTCTTCGTTTAGCGCATGCATCTGAGAGTCACCCATGTGGTGTGTGCGTTGTAAGTTTCCTCTACTGTGGTCTTGAGACCTCTCTGGAGAGTCGCTGTAAAGGGCAATTCTGCCCTGGCAGGGCTCCTGGGATTTGGTCGTGAGTGTTTACAGTGGGCCTTTCATGGGACACCTCTGTATCCTGGCTGACCAGACATCCCTCTCCCAGGAGACTTATCTATCCTGGCAGATGCCCTTGCAATTCTTGTCTGACCTGTATCTAGTTTATTTCCACCAAGATAGCTGCTCTCTAGGAAAAGCCCTGACCAGGGAAAACCTAAGGTTTGAGCGTGTCAGTCAGGCACAACAAAGAGCTGGCAACACAATGAAACACAGGCACTAACAGAAATGGCCTATTGCTTGCAGATCCACAGGAGAAGAGGGCACAATGAGAGCCATCAGGAAGGTCTTGGGGTCATTGTACACAACCATCGTACAGGGAGCCAGAGAGAGACAGAACTGTGGGCTGAGGTTTTTATTGGAGTCCAGGGCATTACTCATGCAATTTTCCCAAGGGGAGCGCTAACTGGTTCCTCTAGAGTGAGCAGCCTGGAGCCCTGTGTGGCCACCTTGTGACTTAGGAGTAGTCACTGTGGCATATCTGCATAGTTCATGCAGGATGTAGGCGTCTGTGGGCTGAGTCTAGTAGGTTGTATGTATACGTCCCGTAGGGAGGCAGTTACCAGGAGGTGGCTACATAGGACCAGATATCTGGATGGAATGTGTTTAGAAGCTAGGAGGAGGCAGAGAGCTGGAAACTGTATCCAAGGTGACTAAGCCCTGCTTCTAGTATGAAACCGTTAACCCCATACTCAAAATGAATACTAAAGCAACATAACATTTCAACTATTTACTAGAGTGTGTATCAAGCTCCCTCCTTATCACTGGTGAGTTGTATTCCATTGTATGGATATGCCACAGGCTGTCTGTCCATCTAGACGCTGGTGGATGGACTAGAGCCAGCCAAGCTGCGCTGGTGGAGAGGCACCTTCTCAGGACCGCCAAGGAGGATGCAGAGGTTGTTGCTGGATGTCTGGATTGTTTCCCGTTTGAAGGCAATGTGAATAAAACTGACTTGAGCTTCCTAGAAGGGTCTTTAAATATACTTATGTTTTCATTTCTCTTGGGTAAAGTGTCTGGAATTAAGTGGGATGGCTTCATTGCATGATGAGTCTTTTTAAAAACTTCCCATCTTTGTGGATTTATCTATCTTTGGTCTTTGAAGTTGGTGACTTTTGGATGGGGTCTCTGAGTGGGTGTCTTTTCTGTTGATGTTGAAGCTCTTTCTTTTTGTTTTTTAGTTTTCCTTCTAACAGTCAGGTTCCTCTGCTGCAGAACTGCTGGAGGTCCACTCCAGACTGGAAAAGTCCCCGATGGCCTTGCTTGGGTAGGAGGGGGAGGTCTCTGACCCATTGCACTTCCCAGGTGAAGCAACATCCCACCCTGCCTCAGTTTGCCCTCCTTGGGCTACACCCACTGTCCAACCAGTCCCACTGAGATGAGCCTGGTACCTCGATTGGAAATGGGGAGATCACTTGCCTTCTGTGTCACTCTTGCTGGGAACTGCACTCTGGAACTGTTCCTATTTAGCCATCTTGGCAGAACTGACCAGCAACCAATTTATTTATTTATTTATTTATTTATTTTTATTTTTTTTTTTTGAGACGGAGTTTCGCTCTTGTTACCCAGGCTGGAGTGCAATGGCGCGATCTCCGCTCACCGCAACCTCCACCTCCTGGGTTCAGGCAATTCTCCTGCCTCAGTCTCCTGAGTAGCTGGGATTACAGGCACGTGCCACCATGCCCAGCTAATTTTTTGTAGTTTTAGTAGAGACGGGGTTTCACCATGTTGACCAGGATGGTCTCGATCTCTTGGCCTCGTGATCCACCCGCCTCGGCCTCCCAAAGTGCTGGGATTACAGGCTTGAGCCACCGTGCCCGGCCATGCAACCAATTTATTAAACATTTTCCTTGATTGCCTACTTTAAGGTGAGTTCACAAAGATTTTCTCCTATATTTTCTTCTAGAATTGTAGTTTTGGCTTTTAGTTTATGTCTATGATACACTCAAACTAATTTTATGTACAGTGTGAGGTAAGAATGAAGGCTCATATTTATTTATATTTATTTATTTTTGAGGTGGAGTCTTGCTCTGTCACTCAGGCTGGAGTGCAATGGTATGATCTTGGCTCACTGCAACCTCCGCCTCCTGATTTCAAGTGATTCTCATGCCTCAGCTTCCTGAGTAGCTAGGATTACAGACACCTGCCACAACACCTGGCTAACCTGTATTTTTAGTAGAGACGGGGTTTCACCATGCTGGCCAGGCTGGTCTCAAACTCCTGGCCTCAAATGATCCACGGGCCGTGGCCTCCCAATGTGCTGAGATTACAGGTGTGAGCCACCGTGCCCAGCCAAGGCTCATTTTTAGATATAGATCCAGATATTCAGTTTTCCAGCATCATTTGTTGAGAAAGCCAACTTTACCTTTACACCTTTGTTAAAAATCACCTGTGGTTAATCTAGTGCTAGATATAGGCAGAGGGTGCTCTGGGTCCCTTGAGAACGGGCACCCAATTAATCCAGCCAGGTCTAGTCCAAGAAGGCTTCCCAGAGAGGCAACAAAGGAATCCCAGGCAGTGGGCCTGTTTGTAGCTTAGTTGTGCTTTTGTGGATTGTGTAGGTTTAGTGGGGTGTGGGGAAGACGCAGAGCTAGAAGTTGGCATGACCCAGATTGGGGTGGGGCGGGGACCTCATGTGCTTTGCTAAGGAGTATGCTCTTTATCCCGGGAGTGATGAGGGGCCACTGAAAGGCATTAGGCAGGGAAATAAGATCGTCAGATTGGCAGTTTGGAACACTGACTCTGGCTGCGGAGGAAGCACTGAAGGAGGTTAAAATGGAGGCAGGCTGGCCAGTAACTGGGAGATGATGATAGGAAGGGAAACTTCCT